TTCTCTTCCACTCTCACAGCTATGAAGCTGACTGAATGCGAGCTGCAAGTTATTCGGATTACCGGCATCTTGACTATTGAACATTTCAGTCCTGCCTGGATCATGCTAGGTGGCTGTAAAATTAACTCTTTACTTACCTTTTACCACTTACCAACAAAAGATTTGAGGGCAAGTTTATTTGTCACCAGGTTTTGTGGAGTTAACAGGACAAATGTAGAGAAGGGCATCACGCAGACTCAACAGGGCAATCCCAGCAAGATCCCCTGCAAACCACACACCATACCGAGGGTGCCATACTAGCCCCAGCAGCAGGAAGTAGAAGGCAGCTTTCTCTTAAATGGTAAAAACTGAGCTACTTCTGGTTACTGTTTTAGGAAATAAACTACAGAATACATTAAAAAGTACCTATCAGCTGTGGACAATATGAACAACAATTACTCATTACCAAAGCTGGGGGTTTTGTTTGTTTCTTCTTTAAAAAAAAAAAAAAACAAACAAAAAAAAACACCAAAAAAACCAGAACTAACGAAAAAGGAGCAGGTGGTGTTTCTTGTACTTCAGCAGCGAGTCTGTAAGTCACAAGTACATGAAAACATGTGAACAATTATGCATACCTTTTGTACCATAGAAGTTGTTTATCTTTAATCTTCTGGTTTATTTCCCAGGGTTTAAAAATCACTCCCTTTTTAAAGTGAATCTAGGACAGCATCGAGTGAAAATACGAACATCAACACCATATATAATTTTTTAGTTTGGAACTAAGTAAGAACTATTTGCTTGCTTGGAAGCCAAGAGATAATATATTAGCTTTAACGTACATCTGGATAAAATGGAGACTTCTGTATTGAACTCTAATTTCTGCAGGGAAGAAAACAACAAAAACCATAACAAGTGAACTTATGGTATGTATGCACACCTTTAAAAAAATCATACTCTACTTGTGTTGTGACAATTCTTCTTCCTGCTTTGAAATGTAAGAATTAATATAATTGCTACACAGAAATGTTCTGAAAAGTCAACCAGCAGAGGTTAAAAAAAAACAGAAAAGTATAAACAACTAAATTATACTGGTTACAATTTAAGTCAGATTCCCCAATTTTACAATGTCTTTTGACTTTTTTATTTTAGAATGCCATTAAGGTATAGAACACTCCACACATCTTTTTGTGAATGAAATTTTTATTTACACACTGTATCCAGAAGCAGATACATAAGTCCTTATACAATTATTTTTCAAAAATGTGCAAGAAATTACTATAATTTTGTTTACAAACCAAAACACATTAAAATCAATGGACTTTGGATAATTCATTCTGTGGTGTGCTTAGTACAAATAGTGCACACCAGGTATGAAACAGAGAAAAGTGTAAACTACAGCAATCTGGATTGCAAGTATTAACTTCATGGCACTCCATCATCACTATAAAAATTCTTTAACCCAACATGTATTCATACAAAATTCTTCAAGAATTTTTCATTATCTGTGTAGAATTTAGAACACTTTCCAGGTACAACAATGCCATATTTCCCATATTATGAACTATCATTTAGACCATATTTTATAAATAATGCTTGTAATTCTTATTCTTTGCAGTCATAAAAAGATTTTAAGAAATTAAATTGTGAATCATTAATTTATCCATAGCTTAGCTCAGAATTTGCAAGTTCAGTAATAGAGAAATGTTTCTCATCAGAATCATAGCTCATATATTGCTGGTATGCTGTTTTAAATTTTTAATTCCAGTATTCACACAGATGAAATGCATCAAAACAAAACCCCACAGATTTCACCCCAGTCAATACTCACAGAAAGAAATTGGCTTTAACAAAATGTAACGTCAGCTCATCTGAGAACAAAGAGTTTAATTAATAATTGCATTTCTGATCCTTCTGACAGAAAAACATTTTGATAAAAAGATGGCATTCACAATGTCAACAGCAGGATAAGCACTCTATCCTTCAAATAGATCAAAGAATACAAATCACTTACAGTTGTTTATAACACTGGCTTACCAAAAAAAAAAAAAGAAAAAAAAACACACAGAGGAAACAGTGCAAACTTATTTTTCTATTTCCAAATACAAGGTGTTGTTTTACTCTTTTAATTGGTAAAACAGACAATGTTTCCAACAACATCAATCGTTTCAGATGCACAAAAAAGGATTTTTATTTCAAAGTTTCATGTTCAGAAAGATTTTTCCACAATTCAGTTGCATTAAAAGCATACCTTTTGAACCCTTAACCTGTTGTGCTGAATAAATAGCCATAATTCTGCTCTACAAGGATCATAGTCAGTTAGCTTTTATTCCTAATGTATCTACTTCCAAAGGCCCCCAAAATACCCTCAATCATTTTCCTTTTATTTGTCAAGGACACTTTGTTCCTCTAATTTTCATGATGCAGAAGTTAACACATTTTTTGTGGTTACTCTGAGTACTTCTGAATCGTCTCATAACTAAATGTTACTGATTCTTTTATATTAATCTTTATTATAAGAAATTGTAAGTATCTTTGTTTTCAAAGTAATTTTTCTGGGCTCTTTCTCCTGGCTGGCCTGTTACCTCAGGAAAAAAATACTGTGAGTTTCTGATTAATGAACCCTGTAAAAATCAGTATTTGTGTCTACTTACTACTGATTTAAAGTATTTTGAGCTTAGTAGAAATATCACCATAATTTTTTATTTAGAATCAAAGTGCTGTATGGTTTTCACATCCTAGGTTGCAACCACTTTGTTCCTTTCATGGAAGTTTTATTGGCAGGGGGGGATAGAAATGACAGAGTTAATTCAACATGATGAAGTTTGCAGATGATGAACGCAGCAAGGAAAGCAATTCAAAAACTGGAAAGCTGAATGAAAGTGGGTTTTGAGGGTTTGGGG